AAAAATTAAAAAAAATTTTTAATTGTTAGTTACTGTATTTTGAAATTGGGCAGCCGATCAACTCTAAACGCCAGAGACACTTTTTTGTACTTAAAAAACTGCACAGAAAAAAAGATATTGTCAAACTGACTATCCATCGTATTCGCAAATGACGTTTCGCCAAAATAGCAATCCGGTTATCTAATTTAAAAATTCATTTGTTTAACTCGAGCATACAGAGATGAGCTCTTGTAAATATATTTAGTTTCGTCAAAACAGGCAACTTTTTTGTCAACATAAGAATCATGTATGGCTAAAATAATAATACGGATCATCATTTTGATGATCGGCTGTATAGCTGAATTAGCTATACAGCGTATCTCTAAAAAATATGAATATACGGCGTAGAGTCAGAATAGCGAAACGTATCCTCATTTTGATAATATTTTTCTGTTCATCTACGTCGAATGTTGCCAAACAAGTCGAAATTCTGAATAATCGTTTTTAGTAGATTTCATAAAAATCTAACTATTGCATTCGTCCTAATGGCGCAACTTTCAAAATATTTCGCCATTTTCTGACTCAGCTTGACAAACTGAGTCAAAAAAATTACTCCTATATCTAAGATTCAACTTCTTGCACAATAAAGATTCTTCTCTGCGTAAATTAGGAGGTACATAGACAATGTTTACAAAATATAAAATTAAAAATGATTACTTTGTGAATCATTCATTATTGCTTCGTAACGAATTCATAGATGACTTCTCTAAATTATTTCTTATCATAATTAGCTGATGTACGTCAAAACAATATGACGTTGTTTTTTATAAAGTTAAGTCAACACGAAAAATAGTCCGCACCAGGTAGAGAGAACTCCCTTTTAATTCCTCTTCCAGAAGTCTCCAGAAGAAAAATTAAACCCAGAGAAAGGTTGCTCAACGGCGGATAATTTTTGGGCTTTATCAATCCAAAAATTATTAATAAAAAAAATTTTTTAATTTAATTTTCAAAATTAAATATCAAATTCATTCAAACAATTCATCAGATTACATTAATTTCATCAAATTACATTTTCATCCAAATTCGACTTAGAAAAATAATTTCATACAAAAATAAATATTTTACCAAAATTATTTCCCATACTAATTAAATTTCTGGGACTTAGAAAAATAATTAATTGGATATTTCGAATTTATTCGAAATATTTTAATCACTTAATTATTTCAGATAATTATATGAAATCTTCCGTACCACTCGAGTGGGCCAAAGATTTCATACTAACTTTACCATCTCTCTATACCTCTACGTGTAAAAGATGCAATTTCGAAAATTAATTACTCAAAAACGGTGTGGTCAATTGATCAGAAATTTTGGTAGTGAATTATTTATATATTTATCTTTCGATAAAAAAAATTTCATAACTTTCTGTTGAAATGGCTTTCACGCTACAACTACCTTAAGTAACAATAACTTTCTGAAATAATCTTGAAAAATTAAAACTACCTAATTCTAAAAGATTTTTTCAATGAAATAGAGTTCATGATTCAATTACTTATCAGTCTATTGATGCAAATGATCATACTATCTATTAACAAAAATGAAGTAATGACACAACTGTTTAACAAATAATATTGATAGTTTATCCATGAAATAAAACTCAAAAATTATTAAATTTAATCAATTTTTGTGTAAAATTAATTATCATAATGAAAAATCTCAATAAAAAAGGACCTAGAAAAATGTTGCTATCTATAGATTTTTTTTTAAATTAACCAATGTTAGATTTTTTGACTTCGAAAAGAACTAGAAACTCGCGACCATGAAAGTCTATAGAGATATTTTATCGTCCATCGATTAAAATTGGCGATAAAAATTTTTTTAAGATACCCTATCGATAAAAGAGCTCATGTTCTTTAACGATTTCGATCAAAAAAACCAGAAAAAAGTAATTTCATTTGTCATTCTCTCTACAAATCGGTCTACTTTTCCGAACCTTGATAAAAACTTGTTTTCTGAAAATTTAATTAATATAAATATCTTTCCAATTTTCGAAAATTATTCAATTCTTGTAGCAGAAAATTAAAAATTTTTTTCTTTACAAATGATTTATTTAAAGTAAGTAAAATGAAAATAATCAATTTTGAAAACAGAAGATGATATGCAAAATATAATAATCAATCAACCCCGACGATAATAAAAATAATAAAATTCAAGCGTAAATTTTTTTCATAAACATGTTTGTTTTGTCTAAAATAAAAAACAAGCTATTAATAAGCTAACGACAATTAGTGGTAGAAAATATTGTTTTTAAATTTGGTAAAAATAAACGATCGTAGTAATAACGTACTGAGGTGTACTACTAAAAAGATTCGTAAATATGTTTTTATTAAATGCTATTTAATCTAATATCGATGAATCACCATTGGTAGACCATGCGGAAGACTCGCTCGATAACTGCTTGCCTACAGCGTTATTCTATATATAGAAAAAATAAAAAATACTGTAGTAGCAGTGACCATAAAACAAATTCGTACCTAATTAATTTTAAGTCCATCATCAATATTGTTGACAAGCTTTGCAGGGATAATGATACTGTTTTTCTATGACTCATTGCTTTGATATTAATTTTTTATTTTTTTTTCCAAGCGCATAATTTTATTTATCACGTCAAAAATTTTATTATGCCGTTTTTTAAAAATGTAGTAAACAATCGAAGAATCATATTTAAAGTTAAGCAGGATCTAATTCAAATCATACTTCACATATCTGTTTCAACAATTACTTTAAAGAAATTCTAATAATTTTTACAAACTTCTTGAAATTATTTTCATTCGAGCAAAAAGAAATCGCTTCATTTCGATAAAAATTTGATAATATCTGAAAGTGAGTAAATTTCAACCAATCAATTTTTCTATTAAAAAGAATCATTCATTAATCGAGAATTTGAATCTTGTTACTAACAAATGTATAATTATATTTTACTATTTCTTCTGGAAAAATAGTCAACTTTATTCATCATGGATTCAAAAAAGTTGCTGATTATTTATTTGGCGCGTATTTATATAAATTTAACCACCCGAGAAAAAATATTTATTTATAATTATATATAACAATATTTAATTATATATTTATTACAGCAAGACAACAAGCGAAATTCAATTATAGAGAATAAAAAAACAGAACAATTCGAAATAAATCAAGGAGTAAGACAAGGTTGCGCATTAAGTGCAGTCTTTTTTAATTTATTTATAGATGACATGGAGGACATAATAGAAAAAAAGAACATAGAGGGTACAGTGATTGGTAAAAAAAAAAATATTTATTGGAAAATATGCAGATGACGCAGCAATAGTGGCGGACACTGAGGAGGGTTTGAAAGAAATGATAAAAGAAGTGGAAAAATACGTAGACAAAAACAATTTAATAGTAAATGCAAAAAAAAAAAAAATAATGGTTTTCAGCGGAGGTGGCTAAAAAAAGAAAGTTAAGTGGAAATAATATAAAGGGGAAGATCTGGAAGTGGTCAATAACTTCAAATATCTTGGGTACAAATTTACTTCAAAAAACTCAAGCAGGGAACACGTTAACGATCTAGTGAATAAGGCAAACACATAATCATGTCTGATTATATATGTGATTCCATATATAATCATATATGATTATATACAATTATATATGATTATATAGAAACATTTTTTCTCGGCCATTTAGCCGGGAAGCACCTATGTCATTAGAAACAACACAAACAACGAACCAATGGAAAATAAAGACCAGTCTATCACCATTGAGAAATCTCTTGACAAACTTGGTAAAAGTTCCAAAGTCCTTTTAAAGCCTCAAACAAATAATTCACCTGCTAGGCCACATAGATCTCTTAGAACTTTCATTGATCCTGACGTGATACCAAAACCTTCGAAATGTCCGGAAGGTACGGATCGTCTTCCTAATGAAGAGTGTCCATCTCCTTATTAATTATCGCTACAAATTTTATTTAGAAACAGTATTGTAATTGTGAATGTTTATTTAATTTCCTAAATTATTATTTACTTAGTTCTAAATAAAGTTAATTTAAAATAAATAAATGTGACCTACTTTATTATGTTACTCAATACAAAAATGAATTCATAGATGATTGCTTGCAAATTCACATTTTTCTTAATTGTGCCATCAACTAATGTTTTCAAGATAAGATATCAAATCAGACTATACTTACACTGAGTAAAAAAATTTCTTTTGAAGAATTAGGCATTTTTGTGACAAGAAATTAATTTGTTGGGAATTTTCAACAGTTTTATTTCTTAGCTAAAGAAATCAAAATTGTTCTTACAATAACTTTCTTGTTGAAAAAAAGTTTTCCAGATTTGAGATAAAACAATTTTGGATGAAAATTCTCAAGTTATCTATCAAAAATTATTTTTTTTTTAATCTAAAAAATTTTTTTCCAATTATAAAGTTACAATATCTTCTTTTCAATTATCGACCCAAATTTTATTAAGAAACAGTATTGTAATTGTGAATATTTATTCAATTTTTTAAATTATTATTTATTTAATTCTAAATAAAGTTAATTTGAAATCTTGAAACGCGAATTATTTCTTAGTATCACTCAACAAAAAAATTAATTGTTATTATCTATAATCTACAAAATTTAATATCTTCAAAAATACACGAAGAAATGTCTTGAAGAGATCATTTAATTTTTGTGAGCCGCGAGTTAGAGTAAAAGAACTGTTCAAGACTTTTTCAACGATCGTTAAGTGTGCTATGAATAACACTTTTTATCAATATACTAGCGCAAAACCAGGCGTAGTTGTAGAAATTGAAATAAAAAAAAAATATACATATAAAATCTGATAACTCAAAAAATATATTTTGTTCATTTATTTTGCAATCCATGCAATTCAAACGATTTATATCACTTTTATTAAAAAACAAATCTGAGTAATCAATATTTTATCTGCTAGTTACAATTAAATTTACAAATTACAAATATAAATATTTACTTTTTAAATACACACTAATCAATCCGAAGGCTTTGCCGTAGTTGTGCCATTATAATTTATTCTCTGCACCTTATTCGTCACCTTCTCCTTCTCTTTTATCTGTACCTCAGCTTTTCTTTTTTCTTTCTTCGCAATCTTTTGCTCCGTTTCCGGGGTGTCAATCTGCGTAGGCACTGAATCATAAGAATAATCCCCATAATCTTCTTGCTCCTCGTCATCGACATCAGACTTAACAGAAGAAGAATTCGTTGCATTCAGGTTATTTTGCTCGCCGAAAACTTTTTGGTACTGTAAAGCCAGCACTTGGAATAACTGTCCAAGAAGATTCAGTGTATCAATTTCTCTTTGGTCATCTGAACTTTCCTCTTCTTCTTCTTCTTCTTTTTCTTCTTCTTTTTCTTCTTCTTCTACTTCTTCACTCAAGCTCTCTTCTGTTTCTGCCTTGTTCTTCTCCGCTACTTTTTCTTCAGAATTAGAACTCCGGTCATCTATGTTTGTTATTTTAATTCGCCGCCTAGGTGGCGTTGCAGCCTTCGGCTTAATATTATTTTGAGCCTTTGAATTTTTGTCTTCTTCCAAATCTACAAGATCTGTTTTTAATTTCTTGTCAGCTTCTTTAGGAGACTCTAAGGCAGATTTTATCGCTCTGGTGCCACGGGAAATCACCAGCGGAAATGGTAAATATGTCGGCGAATGCGCATTATATCCTGACCTATAATTTATTAAATTTATATTGAGTTAATTTTATGAAAATTAATTCAGCAGATATTTAATAATTTTAAAATTTTTTGCAACAAAAAAATTATAGCAAAAAAAATTAGAAAAAAAATTGACATTTAGAAATTTGAAAAATTAAAAATGCAATTTTTTAAAAATAATTTTATGAAAATTAATTTAGCAGATATTTGATCATTTTAATAATTTTTGTAACAAATAAATTATCACAAAAAAAATTTTTTTTTTAAATTGACATGTAAAAATTTTAAAAAATAACAAATGCAATTTTTTATAAATAATTTTTTGGAACAAAATTAAAAAATTGTAAAGTGACAGCTAAATTCAATGTCAATAATTTTTTTTTTACATATTTTTCTTGTTAACAAAAATTAAAAAATTGTAAAGTGACTGCTAACTTTAATGTCGTGTTAATTTTTAATTATAAAAATATTTTTCAATTAAAAAAAAACTGAAGTTAACTGACAGAAAATTTTTTAGCAATTAATTATTGTGAAAAAAAATTACTAAAAAAAATCCACATGTAAGTTAAAAAAAAAAAATATTAGTCGAAAATTTTTAAAGTATTTTTTTGTTGTAATTGGTTTGTTGTAAAAATTAAAAAAATTGACAGGTGTCAATTAACTTCAGTATCATCAATACATACCATGGTCGCGCTAACACCAACTGAGGCGGACCCGAATAACTATATTGACTTTTACTACACGGACAATTTTGTGGTAAACAAATACCATAGCTTCCGAAATAAAAAATCGTCAGGAGAACTAATTTCTTCGACATCTTCGACAAATCTGATCATTTATGCGATTATTTCTTCTTTTATAACTCTGGTAGAAAAACAAATAAATTTGAACACAAATAAGGAAGTAAAAATTGTTAATAATTAACAGTAAATATTATACGGAAGTAAATGAAGAATTTCCGATAACTAAAATTAATTTACAAGTATTGTTTTTTAATTTAAAAAAATTTATTTATTATTTTTATAATAAGGTATTGGGAAACTTAAGTAATTAGGTCACTAGTGATTCACTTGAACGAAACAATTTTCTTAGTCAGCAGTAACTTGATATTTCGCAAGTTTAAATACTTTAAAAAATTAAATTCTTCGCAGGAATAAAAAAAGTATAACTTTTATTAAAAAATGAAGGATTTAAATTTATTTATAAAATTATTTAATACTTGATTTATTAATAAATTTATGTTACAATTTTTACTAGTGATAGTTAATAAAAAAATGTAAAACATGATTTTTAAAAATTGAAAATAGAGGTGTCATTTTTTTAATACATTTTTGTGCTTAAAAATATTCAATTCATTAATTCATCATAATAATTATTAGTCATTGCAATTAATTAAAAATAATTAGTGTCAAAGTTTTGATCGAAGACCAAGAGGTTTCTCGCCAGCAGTTTTTAATTCATACCACCAATCAGCACGTTCCATTCCGCCGGTATTGAATTTAAATACTTCTTCCAGTCGTTCATAAACCTAAAAAAAAAAATTTGTTGTATGTAAAATCGGTTTACGGACGATAGTTTTACGTGATGACGTCAAAAAGAAAAATTGATGAAAAATTGCATAATTTTATGAATTGAATTGAATTATTATTATTTTGTATTTAAAAATTATTTTAACAAAAAAAAGGGCTTATTGATACATTGTTAATCAAAAATTGATATAATAATTTGATAATTGATATAATTATTATTATTTATAATTTATATTAATTATTTTATTAATTTATCGTTTATAATTAATATTAATTATTCACAAAATTAATTTTTAATTTTCAAATATTATTTACAATTATTGAAAAAATTTAATTTAAATAATTTGTTTAAATATAATCACGAACAATTAGTTATAGAAAAATATTCTAACTTCTAGCTCTGTCACGCGAGAAGAGAGATATGAGTGTCACAATTTCAGAATAAAGATGTGGTTTTTCCTATTTTTTACATAAAATCAAAAATTCTTAATACAATGAAAAAAAAAAAATTCTTACTCTTGAGAAAATTTTCTTGTCACAAGAATATATAATCTTGATAATTTTCAAGAATATATTTTCTTGTCTCAAGAATTGATCAAATTAATCGAATTATTTTTTGTTAAATTCAAGTGAACCTATTCGTTTGTTAATCTATCAAAATTAATGCCAATATTTTATTATCATGCTAGATATTAATATTCTTTTGTCAAAAAACCAAAATTTATTTTAAACGATTCTTAAACCAAGGAATTTTTTTCTGAACAAAAAATTTTTTTTTTCTGTGTACATGAATGAGTGGAACTCTAGCCTCGGCTTCTCCAAAAACAATTATTTCAGAACCAAAGTAAAAAAAAAAAAAAAAAAACAGTAAATTCAAATTAGTGCGTACCGTAACCTGCGGTCTTTCTTGTTCAAATGATTTTTATTTTTAATATTCAAAAATTGTATAGCTTTTTTTAATTTCTGTTTGTTTAGCCAATCACTTATGTATTTCTAATGTACGACTTTTATTATTTCTAATAAACAAACAAAAAATATATGTGTCACAAGCCAGCGTTTGCACGCTCAGGCACAGACGGAACGAAGACACTTTTTCGTGCGTGCTGCCGGTGTTCATCAATTTATAAGACGTTATCACATCAAAAATAATTTCATAAATAAAGACAACTAAATTAATAAAAAATTACTACTCAAATAAATGAAACTTACTCGGCCATCAGACATTCCAAGAATAGAATTAAGAACAAAGTCAGGCGGCGCCAGAGCATCAGCAATAGCAACAGCTTCTGGTTTTAATTCACTGCAAAGATTCAAAATACTTTCACGTATTAAATCAGTCATTTGTGGTCCAGCGCAGTAACCACCTCGATAAAACGTAGCTAGATGTTTTTCTAAGCAGGACAACGAATACAACAACATCATTTTTTCCAGAACTACTTTCAAGCTTTCGTTAGATGGTATTGAATTAATTACTTTGTCTATTCTAGTCGTGCAGTACTTTAATATAATCATCTAAAAATAAATAAATGTTATAACTACAGTTACTGGATCTATAACTAGCAATAAATAACATCAAATTACTTCTCCAAATGCACGCGACAGTGTGCCTGCACAATAAACCTGCGCTTTACTTCGTGCAGCAAAACTATCCAGCCCTTTAGATTTACCCTCTTCAAATTTACGCTGCATCTCCATAACAAGATACGTTATCAGCCATTCATACGTATCTCTAACAACTATAAATAATAATAATTAGTTATCTTTGTAAATTGGTCTAATAACAACAAATAAATCAATGCTTGCTTAACTTACACTTCAATGACTTAACGTCGGCAATACTATTTGGTGTGAATTTTTTATTAATTATTGAAGCACCGTGAAGTAAAAATGTTACTGAAGACAATGGGCTACCAATTGTTGAGCCTGTTTGCACTTCCAACCACTGCCGGAAAATCCAATTACTTGTTTGCTGCATCAGTACATTATTATCACCTTCATATGTGACACATGGCTCATGATTTACTGTCATATCACCCAGATTAGCAGCTAAAAATAATAATTCAAATTTTTTAGTCCTTTTTTTTAGTTTGTGTCTTTTCGAGATAATAAAAAATGATTATTTGTCTTAAAATTATTAGAATAATAGTTATCAAAATTTGGTAAATATTTACAAGTCGGGTCAACCATTTAATTTTCATTTTTTTGAACGAAATTTCTATTTGATTTTATTGATATATTTTTTTTGAAAAATACATAAAAAAAATGACACAATTAAAAAAAAAGTTTATTATCACAATTTTAACAATTTTCAAAAAAATTTACAAATTTTTTAGAAGATTGTGATATACAACTTTAAAAAAAAAATTGTTCGTTTTTTTATGTACTTTAAAAAAAAAAATGTATTAAAAACATCAAAAAAAGATGAAATAGAAATTTTATCCAAAAACATGAGCCAAAACTTTTTCCAACTTTTGAAGGCAAAAAAGCTATCGAAATCTTTATTTTTTTTTTCACGACATTTTTTTATCATATATGTGCCGTAAAAACAAGCAGAATAAAAAAATAATTTTTCACCTAGATATAGCCAAAAATAGGGTGGATCCCACTTGTAAATAATTACCGAAAAAATGATTGTTTGTCATTTAATTAAAATTATTAGAATAATAATTATCAAAATTTTTTTTCAATTTAAATCACTGTTGATGTAATGATTTATTCTATTTATTGATTTAAATTAAAGAGAAAAGTTGAAAACTATTTAATTAATTTGATAAATATCAAATTACCTTTATGATAACCATGACCACCGCAAGCTTCCCTAGATTCACTTAAAGCAGCTTTACAAGTCCAAGTAATCAATGGTTTTATCGCTGATACAATTGAATGAATTTCCCCTACAATTTGACTCTGAAATAAATATAAAAATTAACTATTATTAAAATCTAAAGGAACAAATTAAAGTAAAAAATTTTTCTTGATTTTGAAATATTAAATTGCTTACATCTTCGAAAATGAGAATTATTGTTAGAGTAAAATTGTCTAAGGCTCTTCCAAAGAGTGTTAAAGATATTACAAATAACACTTTTTATCAATATGATAGTTTAAAATCAGGCAAAGTTGTAGAAATAAGAAAAAAAAAATTTTTTTAAAAGTGACTTGAAATACACTCGCTTTATAAATGGAAAAAATTCGATGTGAAAGAGGAAGCACGTAGAATTCAAATTAAGGGCTTTAATTTTGAAGAAATTTTTTTTCGATATTTAAAAATATATTTGCCAGGTCGAAGATCATCCATCCATGAAAATACACCCACGTCATTAACAATCGTGTTTAATAGATTTTTTCTCTTGCACAAGTCGGTCCACAGCCGCAAAAATTAAAAAGTAAAAAAATGAAGTGTTGGGTGGGACTTGCTGAGGTCCAATATGAGAAATAGAAAAAGCGTAGAGCTAGGAGAAAAAGAGGAATCAGCCTTGTAAAAACCGAGAGGTGTACAAGTAAAGCACAATAATAATAATAGATTTTTTCTCACATTTATAACTGCAATTTTCCCAATTTTTTGAGATTTTTTAAAATTTTGAAACGTTAATGGGACAAAAAAAACTTTAAATTCAAATTCAGTGGAACAAAATAGATAAAAATCATACTCAATCTGAATCCAAAAAATTTTTTTCATCTCGATAATTTCGGTTTTTCATAACTTTTTGCAATTTTTTTCGGTTTTACGTAATTTTTTCAAATTTTGACAGCTCAACGGGCTAATTAACGATCAGATTCAGATTCAGTGAATTGAAATACATGAAAGTCATACTTAATCCGGATCCATAAAAATTTTTTCATCGCTGTGATTACATTTTTTTTTTTTCATTTTACTCAAATCTGGAGGGTGACCGGGCCAAACGGACTTCAAATTCGGATTCAGCGAAAGGTGATAAAGAGGAAGCACATAGAATTATCATGAAGGGCCCTAATTTTGAAGAATTTTATTTTTCGCTATTTAAAAATATATTTGCCTGTGTCGCGAGAAAAAATATTAGTTTCAAATAAAGCACCCTAAAATCTATACTAATAAATGGAGAGCCAGTTTTTTTTGTCCAGTTATACTGCGAAAACAACTGAACCGATCGGAATGATACTTATACCATGAGATGCAGCGTGTTTCGAAGAAGGTTTTAGTATATGATATGTTGGTGATTACTTATTCGGAGCCTATATTTTTTTGACTTAGAAATAATGAATTTTTATTGTAACTAAATTTATTCTATTCGATTGTCACTTGTTTAAAATAAATTTTTTAATTATATTGGTTATGTTTATATACTAAGCAGATTTCTTCACTTATGAGACCTGCAATTTCTTTAACTGAAACTTTCAATGGTCATTACAAATTTTTTTTTTCAAATCAATTATTATTCATTTTTTTAAGAAAGACACGGGAATGTTATAATTATTGCACATTGAAAGTTAGAATGAATATCAAATAGAATAATTATATGGATAAAAGGTGGATGCCAATTCAATAGAATTAAAAATCTGTGCAAGTCAAAACAATATATACTCTAATTAAATCTAAGTCTAGATCTAAAAATGTAATTCTATAAAGCGCCTAGCAGAGCGTGCAAGTAATATTTAGTATTAAAATAAAATAATAAAATAAAAACTAACAAGATTTGGTATGTTACCACCATCCATAGATTTTTCAACATTTTCAACGTAAACTTCTGTAAACTCAGTCATGAAAATTCGGAAAATTGATGCTGCCGCTAGATAAGGAAATAATCTCCATTGCTAAAACATAAAACAGTTATTTATAAATAAACAAGTAACATTGAATAGTGATATTCAATTAAAAATACTTACATGAAGCTCGTATTCAATAATAGGAGTCTCAATTTCTTTATCAGCGGACAAACAAGACGCAAATTGTTTTCTAACAGCAGCATAACGTACAGCAATGACAATGGCAGCACCTAATCTATTAGTAGCCTCTTGAGAGATGCCCATGCGTCCAGCGGATAAATTTTCTAAAACAGCACCAAGAATTCTTTGGGGATCTGAAAACGAGCTCTCGTACTCTCCGTCTTCATTGATATCACCAGTGCGATTCAATAAATTGTCTTTGGATATACGATAATGGTCAAACATTATAAAACCATTGTCAACACCATTCAGGCCCATTTTTTCTCCCATATCGCCTATAATTATTCCAGGGTAAGGCAGGTACGTGTTACTATCTCTTACAGGCACTATAAATGCATTCAATCCGTGACAGTGTCCTTCTGTTATTAATTGTGCAAACACTATTGCGACGGTGCATGTTTTTCCTGAATAATAAATTCTTTAATTAGTCATTAATTAATTAATTAATTAATTGTATAAATTGTTAAAAAATTACTGTACCGAGATTTCCAACCCAACATTTAGCAGCCTGAAAATCCGGAGTGTGAAGAATAAATTCTTTAGTTGCTGGGTCATAAGTTGCTGTAGTTCGCATCATTTTTGTATTACTTCCATGTCCAACTTCAGTTAGTGCGAAACAACCGAGGAGTTTTTTGTTCCATACATCTTGGAAAACGGGAATGTGTCGATCTGTTCCTAAGCTTAAAATAGTGTTACCAAATAAATACACTCCTAAAGCAATTTTAACTGACAGTGATGGACTGACGAGATTCGTAGCTTCATTTATGGTCATCAGCGCTTCTGTCTAAATTTATAAAAAATATTATTCACTGTCATGATTTATTAATTAAATGTCCTAACATGTCTTCTTAACACTTCGTTGCTTTAAAAATTTAATTTTATACAAATTGACATTTTTTTTATTTATTTAAGCTCAATTGCGAAATTTTTCAATCACTCAACAGTGAAAAAATGAAATCAAATAAAATTTGACGGTCAACTTAAATTTATAATTTTTTCATATAGTACAAAAATATAAAATATTCATATTCATCTCAAATAAACTTCATAAAAATTTATAATAAAAAAATCTATTAGCTAACAATTTAGGTTCACTTTATGTTTTTTACTATTTAAAACTAATCTTAATTTGAATAATTAAATTTTACTTGATTATATAAAGGATTAAAATAAAAAAAAAGTCTTAAGTAGACATGTTGAGTTATTATGAATAAAATAATTTACTTTTAGTCTATAGCCAACGTTGTTAATATTAGAAGGTAAAAATTTCAAATGGTTCAATCGGGCTAATTGAATAGCCGCTCGTCTTTTTTGCTCATCGCAAGATATCGAATAATGCGGCATATGAAATTCATGATCAGCTTCCATTGCTTTCCATACTCTTATCTGTTGTTTATGCAAAAATAATTATTCTTATTGGTTTTTAAGACAATAAATGTTTGCTTTAAAAAATTGAACAAATATTGTATCTTCTGATTTGAGTTTTTTTTAGTAGATTGCATAAAAATCTAACTATTGCAGCCGTCCTCATGGCTCAACTTTTAAAAAATTTTGCCATTTTCTGACTCAGTTTGTCGAGCTGAATCAGAAAATGTAGTTCGTTCAAAAGTTTATGTATGTATGTATTTATATATAGGGGTGATTCTCTGTAAGGATGTTTTTTGCTGTCCCAGGCATTTTTTTATTAGAAAAATTGTTATTTTGTTACTAAAAAAAATTTATTACGAAAGTAAATAAAACATTTCTATTTGGAGCATTGAAAACTAAAATGAAATAAATTTTGGTTTTTTTGCTATAAATTCGTAAACCACCGAAATAACAGTCCCCTGGGCTGTTCCATTCCCAAAATTAAAACTTTAAGATTAAATTTTAAGTTATTCTTCCATAATATATAATTTGATCCATAATGTTTATAAACTTAATTAGTTAACTAACAATTTTCTTCAATAAAAAGTACCGAAAATTAATTTGTTTCATTAAATTCATTAAACCAAAGTATGTCCCAGGCATTTGAGATCAGTCCCTTGCCAGAAGTTCAAAGCCAAAAAAAAAAAAGTCTAGCTTGTTATTTTACCTTTTGTAAGGTTTATAAGGACCTAACTAGCCTTGAGTTAATAATCATAGGGCTGTTAGCGCTTTATTGCCATTTTATTTAGTGTTAAAGCACCGTTTGTGCTGGAAATATGTGTCTGGGCCACTTCAAAACTCAGCCCCCTGGCAACTATTTTTATTTATAATTTATTTATAAAATTTGATCCATAAGTCTTAATATTATTCTAATTAATGTAAACATTCATTGAGAACTTGAAAAGTTGAATGCATTGAAATAGTTTGCTTGATTTTTCTCAATTTGATAAAAAAAAAAACAGTCCCCTGTCATGTTATATGGCAAAAGACACACAAATATCGAAAAAACAAAAATTAATTTGGCTGTTAATTTATTATTATTAGGCTGATAGTTTTGTAGCCCTTGTTAATTTTTTTTCTAATAAAATCAAAAATAATTTGGTCGGACAATTTTGTACAGATTTAAGACGTCCTTTCAGAGAATCACCCGTATATATTTATTTATTTACTAGCTGTTACCTGCCCGCTCCGCTGGGCCTTTATAGAATTGTATTTGCACATTTAAACTTGAAATTTAATTGGAGTATTGTATTGACTTATAGAGATTCCAAATTTCATCGAATTGGCATTTACCTTTTATCCATGTGATCATTCGAGCTAATATTTATTGTAACTTTCAATGTACAATTAATATAAAATTTCCGTGGCTTTCTTCAAAAAATGAATAATTGACACGAAGAAAAAAATTTGAAATGAGCATTGAAAGTTTCAGTTAACCCTAGACTGGTCACCAAACGCGACCTAACGACTTTGGTCGAGTGATGAGGTATTTGCCGCAATGCTTTTAGAGCGTACAGTGTTGCCAGTTCATTCACGTTTGACAGGCAGAGACTAGAGGTGTTTTCGGCAACGCCGCGGACAAAAAACTACTTACGACTCTGGTCAAGCGATGAGGAAAGCCCCGCAAATTTTTTTAAGAAATTTTTTTTCAGCAATTTAACGTTTTTGAAGATGTTTGAAAAAATTATTAATATATTCTAAAATGTTCAAGGAACAAATACAAATTTTTTTGAATAATTTTAGTAAATATTGAAGATGTAATAAACAAAATATAATTGAGCGCGGCGTCACTCTCATAGGGTGACCAGTCTAGGGTTAAAGTTATTGTAGGTTTCATAAGTGAAGTTGAAATCTGTCTAGCTCAAAGTGCAGCGAATCTTGCTGTGAATTAAAATTTCCTCCGTAAAAAGAACAATCGTGTCAGCACGATAGCGTTTTCAATTTATAACCGATTCTTCTCAAACTCAACATGCTTTATCTATCGATAAGGACCAAGGTTAAGTTCGAAATGACAGGATTTTGAAATTTTGAAAGTCGTAAAAATTGATATTTTTACCACTTCAACTTGGTATAATTACTGAACTAGACAAGATATTGAAATTCGATAACTTTCATTGTAAAGCTTTTTTAAGCTTCAATTTTCACTCCTTAGAAGTGGTAATAGCCTCAATATTACTCCTATTAGAGTTCGTTTAATGAAACAGTTTGCATTACTAATAATACTGTTGCAGCCGTTTTAAAATCATTGGCTGTATCATAGCATAAACATGATGTAGATTCAATAATCACGATATTGATCAGTCTTTCGTGTAATGTGTTCGGTTAGATCGTCAGTAAATAAGTTACAAATTCATTCTAAATATCATTTTCTTCAATTAAAATTTCATCCGGTTTCAAAATTTTGATTAACTTGGAAATTGTTGTTCCTAAGCAGTTACTTAAAATTTGGACGTTGATTATTAAAATCTCATAATTTTTTAAATTGTTTGATAAATATTTGAGAATCTTTTTCTTTACAAGACAGATTTTTGAACAAAATTAGTTCTAAGTAGTTTTAAATTTATTATTGAATTTTGTTTTTAATCAATGAATTAAGTTATACATTATTAGTATTAATATTTTTTATTGAAAATAAATTTTCTTTATTTAATTAAGAAATCTACTTCCATTTCGCCTGCCAAATAGCCTTTTTTTTTTTTTTATAAAGCAAAAATTAAATATCCGAGTTTAAAAAAAAAAACTTTTTATTTTAGTTATCAAGTGCAATTATTTTTTTTTATTTTACAGTGATATTAAACATTGAAAAGTAATTATTTTAATTTAAAATTATCGCACTTTTTTGTTGGAATTAAGAGAAAACTTGTTAACATATTAATTGAGTGCAAAAGTCGATATAATAAAAAAAACACTCTCGTTATTAGAACATTAGACTTATGGTAATTTAAAATTAATACTGTACCTTGAATTGTAAATTCTTAGGATCTTCATGAATCACGCGTAAATATTTCCATGAAAAAGAAGCTAATTTTCTGTAATCATCCAATCCTCCTCCACTGGGCATATCTTCAATCCAATCCACATTCATTTTTATTTTTTAGTCAATTTTTTTCTTAAAAATTATTCTTCTCAGTCTGTAATAGTAAGAAGAAATAAAAAAAAATGAATGATTAGCGATAGACAATTGTAAAAATAAAAAGCGAATGTTTTCACGAGCGACCTCTAAGCAGAATAAAAAAATTCAAACAAACTTCCCGCCACTGTTTTTTATCTGACATATTCAACGAAAATAAAACCTGTCATTAGAGTATACACAAACGATGCAACTTGCAGAAAGGTGATAAAAAATATAACAATAACATATTATCAGTAATTAATTCGCGGCATAGATAAATTTTTAACTAACCAAGTACTTATTGTACAGACAGATATAAATAGTTGAGTAATTTACGCTAAACAATTACCTCTTGTCTAATATCTATTGAAGACTACGCCCACTGTTCTAACCTTCAAATTAGTCACTGGAATATTCCTAATAGACAAATAATTAATTTAAACTAACAAAAAAAATTATTAAGTAAAAAACAATCAGTCTGATCAATGATCACTCACTTTTTTATAATTACTCCCGATTTACTTTTTTAATAAAAATAATTATTTTAAAAATATATTCATTGATTAAAAATATAAATATAAAAAAATAAATAATTTAAAATTAATTAAAATGAAATATTTATAATTTTACGTATTTTAATTAATTAAAATTAATTTATAAAAAATAAATATTACACTGGAGGCGTTAGGACGCCAACTGATCGACTGAATGTCTTTATACACGATTTTACCAAGAGCCGGCTTCCAGTACACGACTTATATATGTATTTAGTATTTTTAGTATAACATATACAACGTAGCCATTCTTGCTACTTACATGTGTATGAGATAAACTTGAATGTATATGTGCGACATTTATCTATACAGTTTGGTATAACTTCAATTGGGTTGCACTGACATGTAAGTAATAAGTAAATATATAAAATGTAAATTAATTAAATGATTGCAATAAATCATAAGAATTATTCGCTTTTTTATATTATATTCCATTTCCATCAATCTATAATTCATATTGACATTAATAAATTTTTCTAGGATTATTTTGTGTGCTCCATAGTTGCAAAAATCACGTGCGTGCAGGAAATTGGACATCTTGACCTCCAGCTTGTATTTGGTTTTAAAATTACACAGGTAATTTGATGGTGAATGGTTTATTTTTGAAAACTTAAATTATTTTACTAATATGTCTTGTTTTGATTTCAGGTAACTACTTGCGAGGACTATTAAATTGGTAAATATTTTTTATTAGGTTAGGAGTGTAAGATTTTATAACAGCAAAATTTATTCATACAAAATTTTAGACGAATTTTAATGACATTAAATTTAGATGAAAATTAAGTTAGCCGACATCTAAAAACTTTTAGAATTTTTTTCATTGAAAAAATTGTTACAAAAAAAAATAAAAATAAAATTTCATTCGTAAAAAACTTTAAATACTATAAGTGTAATTTTTTAAAAATATTTTTTCTTATTTAATAAATGAAAAAAAAAAACGTCGGCTAACTTTAGTATTATCAAATTTAGCTGTCACTTTACAATTTTTTAATTTTCTTTAACAAACAAATTTGTTCCAAAAAATAAATTTGTAAAAAACTGCATTTTTTATTTTTCAAAATTTCTACATGACAATTTTAAAAAAAAATTTTTTTTTGCCATAATTTATTTGTTATAAAAATTATTAAAATTATCAAAAATCTGCTAAATTAATTTTCATCGAATTTTGGTGTATTTTTTTTATTAATCTAGATTATTAAATCATAATTCTAAGAAATGAAAAATTTAAATAATCATGTCGTATAAATGAAAATCCTGAACTTTGATTCTGATATTGCGACATTTTTTTTTTTTATTTTTACTCATTACTTATCATTATCACTTTTTTTAAAGCTGAACACATAATATATGATAATCTGGGCTGTTAAATCTATTTAATTGATCAAACAATAAAATTGCGAGATATTGAGTTATGTCGATCAAATGACACTGAAGTTAACAGACGTCTAAAAATTTTCGATTTTTTTTTTTTTAATTGAATTAGAACTAAAAAGATATTTTTAAGAAATTGCACTTGTAGTTTTTCAAGTTTTTAACAAGTGATATTTTTTTTTTTAATTGTTTAATTGAAATTTTTTGGATAAAAAAATTTCTAAAAATTTTGAAATGTCAGCTAACTTCATTTTCATTCGATCAAAAGTAAACAAATATTTCTCATCTTACTTGCTGTGACTAAAATTTTAGTTATTTTGTGAACGAAATAGAAAGACAGTAGCAATTATATTCAGAAAAAAATAAACAAATTGAGAAAGATTTCATAAACCATTTTTTTTATTTGATAGTAAAGTAACAATACGCTATTTATTATTATTAATTAGGATCCATTTATCAAAGTTCGATTAATGTAATAAATTTATGAAAATTTGCCCTTAAAGTCAGAATAAAAAATACAAACTACTTAACAGTAAAAAAAAGTACCTGACAATTAATGTATTACTAATTATCATTTTTATTGTTATTTATTTTAATTTGAAAAAAAAAAATCGGCTATTTTTACAGTTAATTATTTTTTTATTGTTACCAGTTATAAAAATATTATTGTAGATTGTTGAAATATTAACTAGGAAAGTAACGATCGATAAATTTCAAGGAAAACTGGAAAATATTTAACAATAGTAAAAAACTAAGATGGACTGTTATGAATATATGGATTCAAAAGTTAAAAATATACTAAAATAGAAGAAATTTTAAAGAATTTATTCAAAGAAAAGTATATACTTTAAATCTATATTATTAAGAGAATAAGCAAAATTTTGTAGCAAGTGTATTTATATGATAAAATGGGTTTTTGCGGTTAAATTTGGTATTGTTGGAAAAGTCTTGACCTGTGGTTGAGTCTTTTTATAGTTTCATATCATTCTCACTGATAGTCAATTTATGATGATAAGTAATTAGGCTGCATTCGAACATGCTCTATCTCTAGAAACATAATTAAAAAATGACCTTGTATCTTGAGAACTATTGACATTTTTAAAGATATAAACTCATCCTGATGTTATACTCATCAAGACCTTTCATTTGAGTACCCACATCAATTTTTTATATATTTATATATATTATATATATATGTATATATGAAAAATATATCAAAATGCATGTGGGTACTCAAATGAAAGCTGTTGATGAGTGTAACATCAGGATGAGCTTATATCTTTAAAAACGTCAATAGTTAAAAAAATACAGTGAAATTTAACATAATTAAGAAATGACCTTGTATTTTGTAAACTATTGACATTTTTAAAGATATAAGCTCATCCTGACATTACACTCATGAAGACCTTTCATTTAAGTACCCACATCAATTTTTCATATATTTATATATATTATATATATATGTATATATGAAAAATATATCAAAATGCATGTGGGTACTCAAATGAAAGCTCTTGATGAGTGTAACATCGGGATGAGCTTATATCTTAAAAAACATCAATAGTTGAAAAAGTACAGTGCAATTTAACAAAATTCATTATTTAATAAAACAAAATTTTATTTATTTATAGTTCACAAGTCACCGCAGTCACATAGTGACTGCAAGGTTGCTATTAGACATTAAATTTGTTTACAGACTCGAAAAAATCGAGTGCTTCATCTTTTCACAATCATTCGTTCATAATAATTACCATAAATTTATGGACGATAAAACGACTTTTAAATAAAATAATTTCATAAATAGTTCATAAAAAGTATGATTATTACTATCGACAACAATAATAAATACATAAATAAATTTTATAGAAAAACAAATATAATAAAGATTCTAGTAATCAAAGTCCTAGAGGCCAAGGTGTCTAATTTAAATTGTATTATTATTTTTAATAGAATGAATTATTCATTTATATATTTTTCATCTACACTTTTTTTATTCCAAGCTTTCAAATTTGCATTCAAAAGCTGTAGAATAAAAATTTAATCACCAGTGAATTTAATATGATAAAAAAAAATGAAGAGGATGTAAGCAAACATTCCATCTCCTTTGTGTAATAATTAATTATTAAAAATAAAAGATTTTATTTGAAGAATAAACAAATTTTTATTTTTATAGGTGACAATGAGTACATTGGAATTGAAACAAGTATTAACGGGACACAGAGGAAGAGTTTGGAATGTTTGCTGGCATCCAAAGGGTAGTGTACTTGCATCCTGCGGTGAAGATAAGACGATAAGAATATGGGGAATGGAGGGACCGAAATGGGCTATGAAAATGATATTGGCTGAAGGACACACTCGTACGATACGAGAAATATCATGGTCGCCGTGCGGTAAATACATTGGATCAGCTAGTTTTGACGCTACGACTGCGATATGGGATCAGAAATCTGGGGAATTTGAGTGTAATGTCACCTTGGAGGGTCATGAGAATGAAGTAAAGAGTGTTAGCTGGTCTAATAGTGGTGAATTGATAGCAACCTGCAGTAGAGATAAATCTGTATGGATTTGGGAGTGTAATAACCATGAAGATTATGAATGTGCTTCTGTTATCAATGCTCACACTCAAGATGTTAAAAAGGTATGGAATTAGTCAATATTATTATACTGTTATTTATTTTAAGTGACCGGTTGAAATATTCATGGAAGAAATCTTAATAATAAAAATTGGTTATATGACTGAATTCCTGAGAGTCATATTCAGAAACTAAATGGAAAATAAATTATATAAAACTTGATACTATATTCTTCAAAAATTCATTTTGACTTTTATATTTTTAGAAGTTTTAAGATCAATTTCATTGTTAATTTTTAGTTTATTTAATAAAAATCTAACTATTGAATTTGTAGTTATAACGCGACTTTTTAAAAACTTTGCTATTTTCTTAAAGTTCATCGAGTAATTTAGAAATTACAGCAATTTAAAATTTTCAAAAATTAAGAGAAATTTTAATAAATATCTTGAATAATTAAATTATTCAATAAAACAATTCAAAACAATAAATTTGAAAAAAATTATAAATTTTATTTTAACACTCATTAATAGCGTTTCAACAAATATTCGTAGCTCGACTTTACAAAAACTTGAAATACTGGTTATTAGATAACATTTGTCAACTATTACAAAAATGATAACATTTAATTATCACAAATACAGCAAAATAAAATCAGTTGATAAATAACAACGAATACCACAAAATTAATTGTTACCAAAAAATTAATTATCAATAATACTAAAATACTTGATCCTCCGACAAGATATCCCCTTTTATCATGGATTTTGTGAGTGTTTATTCAACATTATTAATCTTAAAAAGATTGATATTTATAAATTCAAATATTCTGTCGCGGTGATATTTATTTTGGGGATATTTTGTCGGGGCATCAAGAATCCTGATACTAAATTTTAACTTTCTACTGTCTCTCCGTCCAATAGCTTTTGAATACGATAACTTACTAAATTGCTGTAAATTTTATCTGAAAGCTCATTAAATGAGCTTTAATTTACCTACATAGAAAAAAAATGTTCTTGAATTAAGTATATAATTTTAAAGAACTTAATATTCTTGATTTAAGGAGATTTTTCTTGATTTAAGAAAATTTTACTTGATTCAAAAATTTTTCGTCTTGAATCAAGTTAATTTTTTTTTCAGTGTGGCTATATATTTTTCAAGATCAATAAGTTAAAAAATGACAGCAATTTAAGAGTTTTGAAATTTGGAAAAATTGTCAGTTTTATTAGTTCTTGGCACAGTTACTATCGAATTCAATAAATAATTGAATTCCTGTAAACTGATTCTGAAACCTTTTTATTCATTTATCTATACATATTAAAAAAAAAAAAAAAAAATGATATATTTTCCGGTCCATTTTATGAAATTATACTTTTGTATTCGTTTTTACATTTTATGACATAAACTTATTTAAGAATTTTCTCAATTGTTATGTATTATTATTTATATTATCAGTATTTTTTTTTATATATTCTTTCCCGTTGTATTATATATTTTTTTATCAACACTTTGTTTATCTGCGACAAGAAATATTTATAAAAAAGTATCAACTCAAATGATATTTTATAGTATTTAACACGAAGATTTTCTTCCAATGAATATTTCGATTTAAAACCATATTTAATTATCTAATATTTAACAAAATTAAACTACAGGTTCGCTGGCATCCCCATGAAGACGTAGTAGCCTCAGCAAGTTACGACAACACGGTTAAATTATTTAAAGAAGATCCAGCCGACAATGATTGGTTTTGTTTTGCAACTTTATCGTCACACACATCAACTGTTTGGAGCTTATCATTCGACTCAACCGGTACGCGTCTGGTAACCTGTAGTGATGATCAAACAGTAAAAATTTGGCAGGAATATAAGCCGGATAATAATGCTGGAATACCAACACCTGACAACAATCCCGTATGGAAGTGTGTCTGTACTCTGTCCGGCTATCATACCAGGACTGTTTATGATGTTGACTGGTGCAAAAAGACTGGATTAATAGTAACAGCCTGCGGCGATGATACGATAAGGATATTTCGCGAAGAAAGTGATTCAGATATTAATCAACCTACATTCAATTTAGTTTGCTCGCACGAAACTGCCCACACGCAAGACGTTAATTCCGTACAATGGAATCCAGTGTTTGCTGGACAGCTCGCGTCTGCTGGTGATGACGGAAAAGTCAAAATATGGTTCTACAGTGATTAAATTATTTAATTTAATCAGTTATTTTATTATTAATTTATAAATATAAATTATACTTAAAGTTTATAAGCGGAAAATAATGTACAGATTTTATTAATATAAAGCAAAATTTTATTAATTAAAATGTTTATTTTATTTCATATCCTCAATAATTACTTACTTTAAAGTAGATTAAGTAAATTTTATATTTTTATATAATGATTATTTTACTTCTGGTAGTGATTCTTTAGAGGTGTTACATAGCTTTACATAGAACCAGAAGGAATACAAAATTAAACATAATTGGGGCATTCCATAGTGACTGGTAGGACATTTGACTCTGGAATTCCATCAATTATATATAATTATGTGACTGAAACTTATATTATAGTAAAATTTATCTTATAATATAGAAGAATAACTAATTAACAACATCTCTTTGTCAAAAACCTCGATTACTTTTTAAATTTCTCGTAATTATCATTTGACTAAGTGTGACTGGTGGGACATCGAAAAATCCTTCTGTCTTACCGCGGTGTACTTAAAGTCAAATTTCAGATCGACCACTAAACTTTTAAAAAATACTTCTCTCTCAATACAAAATTTATTCTACAAACATTCAATATTATGAAGAATTAGACTGATTACCTACGTAGAAACAATTAAAAAAATTTTTTTATTGTGACTGGTGGGACAAGTACAAAATGTGTGCATGAAGTTGTTTATTAAAAAGACTTTTATATTATTTCAACCTTAGAAACATTATTGTTTATATATTTAACTATAAATTATTTAGGATAATTAAAAAAAAAAAAAACTAATTAAAAAACACAAATAAAGGATTTAGCATGCTGACAACACGATCTTGATAAACTTAGGTGTTAATTAATAACGAACATAAAAAAATTTGTTCTTAAAACTATCATAATAAATATGTTAGTTGATAACAAACATAAAATAAATTTGTTCTTAAAACTATTAAAACAACATTTCATCCGGATACGAGTTAGTATACTAACACTGATAGAAGGATTTCTTAACATTTAAGAAGATTTCTTTGTATTTAAAACTAATTAAAAAACACAAATAAGGATTTAGCATGCTGACTAACACGATCTTGATAAACTTAGGTGTTAATTAATAACGAACATAAAAAAATTTGTTCTTAAAACTATCATAATAAATATGTTAGTTGATAACAAACATAAAATAAATTTGTTCTTAAAACTATTAAAACAACATTTCATCCGGATACGAGTTAGTATACTAACACTGATAGAAGGATTTCTTAACATTTAAGAAGATTTCTTTGTATTTAAGAAATCATTTCTTAAACATCATTTCTTAGTATTTAAAAAATATTTCTTTGTATTTAAGAAATATTTTTTAGTATTTAAGAAATATTTTTTAAATACTAAGAAATGATGTTTAAGAAATAATTTCTTAAATACAAAAAAATCTTCTTAAATTTTAAGAAATCCTTCTATCAGTATACGGCTGAAAAATTACTAGGAGAGAAAAATCGATTTTCTGATTGATTAACAAAAATTTTCTTTACAAATTAGTAAAATATAAATTTTTAATAATAAATTAGGACTAAATTGAAATGAATTAGAGAAATTTTTTAATTTTAGTCATTTTCCCATTTTGCATGGAATGTCCCAATTACATTATATTTCTCCAAGTAAAAAGTTGGTTTGGTAAGATGTGAAGCCTTGTTGCTAGGTAACTGTTGTTATGGAAGCGTTACCTAGCAACGGTTGCTATGGGAGTTTCTATGGAGACGTTGCTTAGGGAGGAGATTTTAATGGGGTTTCTATGAAGATTTCTATGGGGTTTTTATTGAGGTTTCTATGGGAGGGGTAAGAGGGGGGGAGTAGTAGTAAACATTATGAGGGTAGTAAGCGCTCAAAATTATTTCCATTAATTTACTTGTATTAATTTTATTTGTTATTAACTTCACTGATATGTTTACTTTTTTTTATATATTTTGTAATTTTTATTTTAATGTGATTTTATTGCAAACATATTACCCGTGCGTAGCGCGCGGTTCATGCTATTAATATATAGTAATAGATTATTTAAGTACAAAGTAATAAGTACCTTTTTATATATTTATATTAATTGTAATATTTTTATATTAATTAAATATTGTTTTTAGGTCTGATTTTAGATGATACAACGTCAACTGGTAAATAGTTTAATACTAACGCGTAGTATGTCAGGAACAACCGGTTTACCATTACAAAAAGTTATCCAGGCATTGAATAACTTTGCTGATAAATCATTAGCTGCGTCATGGGACAACGTGGGCTTGCTTATTGAGCCATCAGAGCCTAAAAGTGTATCACGTATCCTACTTACTAATGATTTAACTGAGAGAGTCATGCAGGAAGCTATTGATCATAAAACTGATCTGATTGTTTCGTATCATCCGCCGATATTTGCACCACTAAAACGACTTACTACTGCTGCGTGGAAGGTAATTTAATCATTTTAAATAATTAAACTAAATTATTTTGAAAATATGATAGAGAATTAGAAAGATATAATACAATAATTTTTTTTTTCTTATTTTACTTCAACATGATTCGTTTTATAATAATAGATAAACTCATCACATTTACCTTCGGCTCGTCGGGATTATGAATAATACATGGTAAATATAACGAATTAAGTACTGTAGCCAGAACGATCAGAAATTATTCGTAATAACCGATAATTATGAATAATAACCGTATAATCACATTCACCGTATCAAATTTAAAACGTGTTCTGATCCTCAATTAACTTATGGATATTTTTTTGTTATAGTTTTTACTTGAATTTATTTTTGATAACAGATTTTTTTTTTTTAAACAATACCTGAAGGCAATCAGCTTACGCTTAATGTTGATAAGTCTACATACATTACTTTTGGAAGCTATATTGATAGTGTTCCTACAAATTTTCATTTGTTTATTAAAGATAGAAAGCTGTAAATATTTAAGGGTAATTTATGACTGTCATATGAAATGGAACAAGCATATAACTGAGCTGATGAAAAAAGTCAAGTATTTTACTTTTTTATTCTATAAATTAAGTAATTGGCTACACTCATCTATACTGAAAAAAATATATCATGGTCTTTTTGAAAGTGTTATAAACTATGGAATCATTGCTTGGAGTGGTGCATATATATGATAATACGATGAAACCTATTGTAAATTTACAGAATAAATTAATAAGTAAAATGAATTTAGAAAATGAAATATTAGTACCTTTAAAAATCAACTTTTATTTTGTTGTGAATTCGCTAACTTATTATTTTCTTGGGTGTAAATTAATGCACTCAGGTTGATAAATACACGAAATAGACAGATAACTTTACCAAAAATTAACAAAACTTCAAGTACTAAAAATGGTTTTTTTGTGGCAATAAAATATTTCAATCTACTTCCCAATAATCTAAAAGCTCTTGATTGTAAAAAGAGGTTATTAAGTAAGAATTTTGGGAAGTGGATTAGATCTATTGAACGATAAATGAAGATATTGTATCATATTGCAAACTATTGTAGAATTATTCTCAGGAAAACTTTATACTTTGTACATTGCATTAGCTAATTATTATTTAACTTGATGTATATTAGGGTGGCCCAAAAAAAAAACCGACTATTTTTTTTCGAGTCTCGAGTGAAAAAATGTTAGTTTTTGATGTTTTAAGAGCCCTCTCCAAAGAACAGCTCAAAAAAAATTTTTAAGAGGTCGCTCCAAATTTTTTTAAATTTCAAAATAGTCAAAAATCGAATTTTTTTAAAAATCTTTTTTCTAGTTACGGTATAATTACATAGACCAAAAAAAATAAGTTTCTGAAAGTTTCAGTTCAAAATTCAAATTTTGAAAGGTCGCTCATAATTTTTTTTAATTTATTAGTGCATTACTTCAGATTTTTTGGAGCGACTTTTAATATTCAAATTAAAATTCTATGCATTTTTTTTTCTTTATTTAGTACAATTATCGATAAAAATACACCACGAGATGAACTAAAAATCAAGCACAATATAAAAAAGATAATTTTTTTTTTTCAATTTAATAATTTTATTTAATCAACTACAACATTTTGGTTGAGATTTGACCCGTGCCGCGTAGGTTAAAATTTTCACAAACCAAAAAGACCCCAATGTACCACTCCTAACAGTTAAAGTCTACGATATGACCACAGCAGTTAAAACCGACTCTAAATAATAATTAATTAAAGAAAAAAAAAAAATTATGAGCGACCTTTCAAAATTTGAATTTTCAACTAAAACTTTCAGAAACTTATTTTTTTTTGTTTATGTTATTATACCGTAACGAGAAAAAAAATAAAAAAAAAAAATTCGATTTTTGACGATTTTTGAAATTTAAAAAAATTTGGAGCGACCTCTTAAAAATTTTTTTTTGAGCTATCCTTTGGAAAGGGCTCTTAAAACATCAAAAACTAACATTTTTTCACTTGAGACTAAAAAAAAAAAATACTCGGTTTTTTTGGGCCACCCTAATGTATATTCTATTAAATATTATTATATTTTTCTGGTGTCTATGCACAAGTGCCGTGGACCTCTATAGAATGTATACCAAAAGTAATAAAAATAAATAATAAGTAATAAGTAATAACTATTAAATTAATAATAACTAGTAACTTGCAGTCAGTATGTGACTGCCGAAATTTACAGATTATGGATAAGAAAACTTTGGCTTAATGTTTTGATATTTTTAATCACACTATAAATAGTTTGGGTACTTTTGAAATAAATTAAAAAAATTATAGCGCTATCACAGAATCAATTACAAATAATTTAATGGATAAATGTGACCAACAAACTATTGAAAACTCTTCCAAAAACTTAACATTAAAAATTCAAGGCCTTTCCAATTATACTAAATTTAATTTAAACACGCCAGAGACGAAATATATCTTATTCTCTGAATTATATAGATGACGTAGAATTTTCTTAAATCATTTAAAATATGTTATCTTTTCAGGAACGCATTGCTTTAAAATGTATTGAGAATAAAATCGCTCTCTACTCTCCTCATACCAGCTTCGATTCAATCCGTGGTGGAGTCAATGACTGGCTAGCTGGTGCATTTGGTAATCATCTATAAAAATTTACAAACTAATTAATTAAAATTAAATTAAAGAAGTTTCATAACTAATTATAAACAATAATTTATTTATAGATATCAAAACAAGTATACCTATAGAGCCGAATTCAGTTGACGCAAACAATGGGATGGGCAGATTCTGCACTCTAACCAGTCCCATAACCGATCAAGAAGCAGTAAATCTTGTTAAGCGTCGGATTAATCTTAATTATGTCCGTCTCGCACGTGTCCACAGTCCAGGTGTGTATCAATAAATTTAAACTAGATTTCAAGATCAATGAAAATTTCAATTTAATTTATTTTTATAAAAAATAAAATAATTATAAAGTTTATTATTTTTAGTAGATTTCATAGAAATCTAACTATTGCATTGGTCTTCATGACGGAATTTTTGAAAAATTTTGCTATATTCCGATTTAACACAATGAGCTAAGTCAAAAAATACATATAACGCGGCTTGTCAGCACGATAGCGTCTACAATTCTTAAGAGATCTCAATGAAACTCAACATACTTATGCTATAGACGATTTCAAAGGTCGAATTCAAATTTGACCTGAATCGGACAATTTGTTTAGAAATTACATCATTTCAAAGTTTTTAAAATTCAAAAGTTCCATATTTTTACTGCTTGTCCTTCAAATAACTTTTAAACGCGTCGAGATATTCGAATTCTGTCGATTATATCTGAAAACTGAGAAAATAAGCTTCAATTTTCATTTTTACATGTATTTCTAGAGTAAAAAATTTTTATTTTGGGTCCATTTCAATGAAATTTTACTCTTGCAGTCGTTTTGTTTAATAGGAACATTTTCAATAAGTTGATAATAGAATTCAACTTACTGAATTCACACTATTGTTGTAACAAAACCGGCAAAATATTTATTTTGAACAAAATTAGTTCTAAATAGTTTTAAATTAATTATTGAATTTTTTTTTTTTCAACGAATGAATTAAGTTAAGGTAAAAGACCCCATTAGTGGCACTTTTTTTTCAATGAAAAAATGTTCTACTTGACATAGAAATTAAAAATTTTTTTAGTCTAAAGGTCCCAATGATTAGAAATAATAGATTCATTATTGAAATTAATGATTTAATTAATTGAATAAGTACCAAAATCAAAGAAAGTGTCAGTAATGGGGTCTTTTACCCTATATATTATTGTTAATATTATTTTATATAAAATAAACTTTTTTTATCTGAGAAATCTACTTCCACTTCTACTTCGGCTATCAAATGGCTTTTTTAGTAGATTTCATAAAAATCTAACTATTGTATTTGTCCTCATGACGCAACTTTCGAAAAATTTTGTTATATTCCGACTTTATTCGACGAGCTGGGTCAGAAAATACATATGGCTCAAAAGTTTATATATGTATGTATATATATACATATATATACGATATAACGCGGGGCTTGTCAACACTATAGCGTCTACAATTCTTTAGGGATTTCAATGAAACTCAACATACTTGTTCTATAAACGATTACGAAGGTCGAGTTCAAATTTGAGCCAAATCGGTCAATTAATTTAGAAATTGCAGCTTTTTAAAATTTTGAAAATTCGAAAATTCCATATTTTTACCGCTTTTCCTTCAAATAACTTTTAAACGCGTCGAGATATTTGAATTCTGTAAAATGCATCTAAAAGCTGGGAAAAAAAAGCTTCAATTTACATGTTTACATATATTTCCAGGCCAAAAAATTTCTATTCTGGGTTCGTTTCTATGAAATTTTACTCTTGCAGTCGTTTTGTTTGCTTTGATGGTTGTAACTTAATATTAAATAGAAACATTTTCAATAAGTTGATATTAGAATTCTACTGACTGAATTCACACTATTATAATACTAAATCAAGCAGATGTTTATTTTGAACAAAATTAGTTCTAAATAGTTTTAAATTAATTATTTAATTTTTCTTCAATTAAAGAATTATGTTACATATTATTATTAATTTTATTTCACAAAAAACAAATTTGTCTTTATTTGAGAAATCTACTTCCATTTCGGCTGCCGAATGGGCTTTTTTTTAACTTGTAATAAATAAAAATTTTCAGACAAGTTAATCAAGACAGTGGCAGTTTGCGCTGGCTCAGGAGCATCTGTGCTGAAGAGCGTAAAAGCGGATCTTTTTGTAACCGGTGAGATGCTACATCACGATATTTTGGACGCTGTCCACAACGACACAGTAGTGATCCTGACCAACCATTCAGACTCCGAGCGTGGTTTTTTGAAAGAGTTCGCTGATATTCTCCATAAATCACTGAGCGATTCCGTTGATATAAATGTATCTAAAATGGACACTGATCCACTTATGACTGTTTAACATCAATAAACATGATGTCATGCCAACAATATTTTAATTTAAAAAACAATAATAATGGTAATAACTCGATTTCCCAATATAATAATTTCCTAATCTTTCAGAAGATTTTCAAACCTATTCAGCTACCATAATACACGCGCATAAATTAGCATAATGTAATTGAGAAGCTAAAGGATGAAGAAGTAGTTGGCTAAGCTGAAGAGGAAGACAACGGAGTAATAGTAGAGGAAGAGAACGGAGTGGAGTAGTCGCTTATTTATATTTTTTATCAACGTGGGTCCGTATTCAACTGTAGCTTTATTACAAACAAGCAAACTCCCTCCGGCTTCAGTGAAAGATCCGCGCTTGAGGCGAACGGGAGTACTTTACTGGTGCTCTGTTCTTTATTTACTAATCTATTCTACTTGTCGTCTATTTAGTTATTAATTTTTATTTCATTTTATTTTAAATAATCAGTCAAATTGATTAATATTATTATTTTGCCTAAATGATTGTTAAAAATTATAAATTGTAAAAGGTAGTAATTGTACGGTAATGCAACAAATGCATAAAAAACTGTAACGACTGTGAAAATTGTGTCAGATATATGTCCATGTCCTCAACCGGTTTCCGATTGATTGCACACGAGTCAAGAAAGAAAGGCCTTATTCGGAAGCAACAGTCATAAAAGAACCAGACTCAAGTTCGTGCGTGTGTTGGTCCTGTGGGCGCTTTGAGCCTCTCTTCACTAGATTACTCGACAAATTTTTTCCACAGGTGTGTAAAGATTTTTTAAACGTTATTACGTCATTATTTGTCATGAATTTTATTTTTTTACAGTACATATTTGGTGATAAGTTTCAAACAAATATTGTAATTGCTCTGATAAAAGCTAAATAACAATATCACACCGATAGGATTTATTTGTATTAAATAATATTTGTTAATATTTAACAAATCATTTATTAGAGACGACTTTTAGTATTAAACAAATATTTAAAATGATTTGTTTGTATTTAATAAATCTAATATTCATTTATTAAATATTAATCAATCTTTTTAAATACTAAGAAATATTTTTTAAAGACTAAAAAATGGCTTCTACACGGAAATAACAAGATAACAATGGATATCATCCCAGATTATACTGCGTGATATCTGGATTATACTTATTGTAATCTGGATTATACTAGTTACTATCTGAAATTTTTTTTCACTCAGTATAATTTGGGATGATATCCAGTGTCATCTTGTTCTTTCCGTGTAATAAATGATTTGTTAAATATTAACAAATATTTTTAACTATAAACAAATCCTTCTATCAGTGCAAGTACAAGAATTATTAAAACCCCACCTACGATTTACACGAGTGCCCTCGAAACTGTAACCGGCTTTAAACTGTCGTTTACTCTAACATATACATTTATTCTATTACTTATTCTTATTACATTAGATAGACAGTGACCAATCCCACGGCAATTGACAATGCCATTTGAATTATTTTAAACACAGATGTAATCATTACCTTCTTTGTTTTATTTTATTTCTTCGTGCTATTTAAATAATTATTTTATCAAAACACCTCAATTATTCATTACATATCTTTTCGTTCTATTGTTATTAAATTTTTTAATTTCATGTACTTGAAAATAAATTTAATTACAGGAAAGGATATTATGTAATTACAAAATAACTATTAATTTATCGCACGCGTTAATTCACTTTCTACAGAGCTATTAATTAAAATTTAAGATAATAAAATTGTATCAATTTTTTTTTTTTTAATTTTTTATTATTACCGGATTTTATAAATTTATTTTTTATGCTTATGTTAATTATGTGAGTGGTGAAATAATGAATTCAGTGAAACAAATTAATATGTTCAGGAACGTTAATTGACTACACGTTTAAATTACGTGTACATTATGAATTACCTTGAAAGAAAATCGTGAAAGTTTTAAAAACAAACAAAAGTAAAGCTTACAAAAAAAAAAAAAAAAGTAAAAGTAACTCAGTATGATTTCCTTCTTTTTTTTTTTTTTGTGAACGAACAATTAAATAACGTGTAAATTGTAGGTAAATTTACTGAGCATGTTTATGGTGTTAAATATATATATGGCTGTATCAGATTTAGATCCGAGTTCGTTAACCCCCGCTTTGAAAGCGGAACCAATGGATAAATTTTTCACCGTAGAAGGGATTTTATTTTTTGCTGAAGAAAATAGTCGTGTTGAGGCTACATGGCTCAAGGAGTCGAGGAATAAAAGAGAAGAAGAAGATAAAGATAAAACATGTGAGTACGAGTTAGTACTATACAAGTTAACAAAGAAATAAAAAAAGAAGATAAGAAGAAAAATAAACTCGAGGACAGTCTTTAGGTCTTGCGGGGGCGACTCAACATCCGCGTCCTTGAGGACCCGTCTGCTCTTCGCCTACTCGATTTTTAAAATTATTCTTTAAAAAATCTTAACAAAAGTGTTATTAGTTTATTACCTACTCTGTAGTGTCTCTTCCCACGTTGTACGACACGTTTACATAAATCGCGAGGCGTTGATTGTCTATAAAATCTCATCGCTATTGTCACTTGGTTATTAATTTATTACCGAGATTTAAATTAATTATTCATAAGCACAAGCTTGTATATTGTTGATTCATTATTTTTAATATTATTTATTTTATTCCAGATTGACCAGTCATTTTTTTTTTAATTAAATGATGAAGATGGAAGTCGTTTTGTCACCAGGAAGATTTGGTGATGACGGAACTCCTTTTAAAAATGAAGAAATTAGAGAATGGTCCAGGATTGATCGGCTTACTGGAATGTTAGAGCGTGCCAGGATTGAAACTGGACGATGGAAGACCAAAAATGAAGACGCTGCTCGATCTTATGGCAAAGTAATTTTTTAAATATATTTTTTTTTTAATGTCAAAAGACACTGAAGTTAATAGACAGAAATTTTTTTTATAATTTTAGAGCTATTAAATTGTTATGAAAAAAATTTAATAAAAAAATTCCACGTAAAAATTAAAAAAAATTATTCGTGGAAATTTTTTTAATGAAAATGAATTTAGCAGATTTTTGATCGTTATAAGAATTTTTGTTTCGAATAAATTATGGCAAAAAAATATGAGAAAAAAAATTGACATGTAGAAATTAAGAGATATCAAAAATGCAATTTTTTTAAAATAATTTTTCCGAACAAATTGTTTTATTGAATAAAATTAAAAAATGGATAATACTAAAGTTAGCCGACGTTTTTAATTTTTTGATTCTTTTTCATTTACTTAATTAGAATTAAAAAATATTTTTTAAAAATTGCACTTATGGTTTTTCAAGTTTTTTATGAATGAAAATGTTTTTTGAATTTTTTTAAAATAGTTTTTCAATAAAAAAAATTCTAAAAATTTTTAGATATCGGCTAACTTAATTTTCATAAAAAATGCTCAAGTGACTGCAAATTTTAATGTCATATTTTTTAAAGCATTTTTTTTATTATAATTGATCTTTTATAAAAATTAAAAAAATTTACAGCTAATTTCAGTATCATAAATATCAGGCTTGACTCAGTGGCACTGCAGTGGTAAAATTTTAAAACGTTACATAAAATTTACCACACAGTACAGTAAAATTTTCTACAATTAGATTTTGCTATTGTCTTTATAATGATTTATTTATTTATCGAAAAAAATGCAGAAAATTTTCAGGTCTTTGTATAGTTTTAACACAAATTTTTTAAGTTATGGATAAACTACCGTGTAACAATTTAAAGGTATTTTGACATATCCTCGATACTCGATTTTTGAAAACTTTGGGACATGATTGAAACTAAATAGTTAGCAAGTTATAAATAATTAAAAAAATTTTTACAATAATTATGGTAATTTTTGATGAAAATTAAATTAGCCAACATCTAACAATTTTTAGAATTTTTTTTATCGAAAAAATTATTACAAAAAAATTTTTTTTAAATTTCATTTGTCAAAAACATGAAAATCTTTAAGTGTCACTTAAAAAAAAATATTTTTTTGTTCCAATTTAATAAATCAAAAAACTTTAGTATTATTAATTTTTGATACTAAAATTAGTCAACCTTAAAGAATTTTTATTTTTTTTTAATAATTAAATTACAAGTAAAAACATACTTAAAAAAAATTGCACATATAATTTTTCAAATCTTCTCTATATAAAATTTTTTCTTTAATAATCTCTTCGATAAAAAAAATCTCTAAGAATTTTCAGATGTCGGCTAATTTAATTTTGATTGGTAATTTTACTAAAATAAAGTACTGTAAATTAAATAAATTTTTTATGCAAATGAAAATTAATTTATCAGATATTTCATAATTTTTTTAATTTTTGTGACAAAAAAATTAACATGGAAAAATTTTTAAAAATGAAAAATGCAATTTAAAAAATAATTTTTCAGAGCAAATTTGTTTGTTAAATGAGATTAAAAAATGGTCAAGTAACTGCTAATTTTAATGTCATTATATGTTATGGTAAATTATCTGTAAAAAGTATGACATTAAAATTAGCAGTCACTTGACCATTTTTTAATCTTATTTTAACAAACAAATTTGTTCCAAAAAATTATTTTTAAAAATTGCACTTTTTATTTTTTACAATTTCTAGATGTCAATTTTTTTTAATAATTTTTTTTTTTGCCATAATTTGTTACAAAAGTTCTTAAAATTATCAAATATCTGCTAAATTAATTTTCATGTAAAAAGTAAAGGAAATTACTGAAATTTGCGGTATTTTAAACTTGTAATTTTCTACTGTAAATTTTACGGTAATTTGGACCAACCAAAGCGGTAATAATTAAATTAGCCTAAAATTATTTAACAGGTAACAGACCAACGCGAACGTAATTCTGTTGATGGTAGCGTAACGCAAAAAGCTCATAGACAAGTTGAAATATTCCAAAGTAAAGAACCAGGAAGATCTGTACAAGTTGTACGTGCATCACAATGGTCATCTTCGAAAGTTACCGATGTTATTAAAAGTATTTTACCTCCGGTAAGCTTTAATGATTAAGTGATTTAATTATTAATTATCAATAAATGTTTTAATAAAAAATGTTTCAGAGCGATAGGTTGAGTAGATTAGAAGAATTAAAAACAGATAATTGGAAACTTCCATCTTTGCGTGATATTCATGCGGAACTAGAACGCGATACAGAATTACCGGGCATTAAAAATACAATAAATAATGACGATTTATTTAAAAAATGCGCACTTATTAAACGAAGTAATTCCGATGATGATTTATCGATATTAAGTACTGGTGGATCGACTAAAAACGCGGATTCTTTTACACGAGATTGTAAAAATAGAAGATCGTTACAAATTTCACCGAGTGTTATTTCAATATCATCAAGTAGCAGTGACGAAAGAAAAAATATTTCAAGTGGAATTTATTCTCCACTGTCATCAGCAACTACCGGTAATACATCGGTAATTATAGGTGATAAATCAAATTACGGATCGTTGAGAAAACCTTCGATTCAATCGTCGCCACGCATAAACAGGCCAGCAGTTACGGTAGTTAATTTAATAAACCCAGATAAATATCAAGATGATCCGAGGAATAAAAAAAGCATTGTCACTCTCCGATCGTCGCCTATTACCGAAGAAGAAGATATCAAGACATTTGACAATAATTTAAATGTTAAAAATAAGACAAATTCTTCTGGCGATGAAACATTACCGGGGCGTATTAAAAAAGTTGGATTTTGTAAGACTGAAATACATTTTGCAGCAGATTCGGGTAAAGTTAATATTGTTGAGACTGATGGTAAACCACCGCCGACTAACCGTTTTCGTCGACGTAAAAGGAATCATAATTACTCGTCTGGACAAGGTAGTTATCCTCGGCGGATGATAATTAAAGAAAACCCACCTGATGTTAAACATAATAAAATATTGGACGATACTGGTGCTTATTCAGTCGTTGATTTAGAGACCAAAAAATTTTGGACTCCTGAACGGGATGGTAAAATTCATACGACGATGATCAATGTCAGAGGTAATATTATTATTTTTTATTTTTATTTATTATAAACTAGCAGTCTGCAATCACTACACGGAAAAAACCAGATGACACTGGATATCATCCCAAATTATACTGAGTGAAAAAAAATTTCAGATAGTAACTAGTATAATCCAGATTACAATAAGTATAATCCAGATATCACGCAGTATAATCTGGATTTTTCTAGCTACTATCTGAAATTTTTTTTCACCACAGATCACTAAGTATAATCTGGGATGATATCCAGTGTCATCTTGTTCTTTCCGTGTATGTGACTGCCGAGATTTACGGATTATGAATACACAGAAAAAAACAAACTTTTTGCACTAAGAAAATTTTAAGGAAGACAAAAGTTATTTTGGAGCAATGAGAAATTTTCTTGGCTCAAGAAACTTTGACTTCTTTCAAGAAATTTTCAATCTTCCTTTATATTTTCTTGATCCAATCAAGAATTTTTTTTTTTTTTTTTAGTGTAAGAAAACTTTGGCTTGATAATCTTTTGATATTTTTAATCACACTATACATAGTTAGGGTATTTTTTGAATTAATTAAAAAAATAATATTACTATAACAGCATCAATTACAAATAACTTAATGGACAAATGTAACGGAACAAATTTATAAAACCAAAAAACTATTCAAAACTCCTCCAAAAAATTGACTACTAAAAAATATATAAAACCAAAAGGAACTAATTCTTATCAAGACTTTTTTAATGATACCAAATTTAACTATAAAAATTTTTTTTTAAATAATAATATACCTACTCGTTACAAAATTTTCCTTAATCTCTCAATTATTTAAATCATAAATGAATATCACTGTAATAAATATCAAACCCAATTTACGATAAAGATATACCCGTTACAAAATTTTTTTTTAGTCTCTTAATTATATAAATTAATTTTTGACCTATAACCACATTCACATGTACAAAACAAAATAAATAAATTAATGAAGTTTATCATGAAATTCAAATCTATTTAGAACTATGAAAACGGCTCCGTATCTTTATTAATCCGTGATAATTTCTAATGACAAAAATTTCTCATGCAAAAAAATTATCGCTCAAAAATTTCTTTCCCGTATTGTGTCTTTTTATTATGGTTTTTGTGTGTGTTTAAGAAAATAATACCGAATGAATTTTGATAATGAGAAATAAAGCCTTTAAAAAAATATTATACAAGTAATTATTGCTGAGAATTAAACATTAAAAAGCCACTAAAATTCAGCTCAAGACTTCTTCAATGATAGACTAAGATAATAGACCCAGTTATTAACACTCGCAATTTTATTTTAATTAAATAAAAACAAATCAACTCTAATAAATTAATAAATATAATTTTTGAATTATAAATTTTAAGACAATTGGTTTTTTGAGAATATTTTATTTTTTTTATAAGAATAAAAATTGCAAGTGTTAAACAACTAGGTCAGTGTCAATAATTGGGTCTTTTACCTTGAATTTAATTTAAAAAACTCATTTTATCATATAAATACACCGGAGACAAAACTATTCCTTATTCTCTTAATTATACAGATAATTAATAATTATTTTTTTCTTTTTACAACAGATAATGAAGAATTGAAAAAATCAAAAGAGTTGTCGTCACCAAAAGTAGTATCTGAAGTAATATCACGTAGAAACATCGACCAAGTTGACAATAACATAGTAACAAAAGACGCAGATAATAACCGTGTTCTTTCAACTATCGTTACAACTCATGAATCAACAATTGCACGTGTCGAAGATAATGTTCCAAAGATTAAAAAACCCGCTGATGACTTTAATAGATTCACGTCTTCATTGCTGCGAAGAAATAAATCTAGCGGATTGAAGCGTGCGTCGAGTGTTAAAAGCGATACGAGTAAAAATTCCCTGACTAAAAGATTTAGCAAAGACAAAGAAAAAGAAAAAGAAAAAACTAAAGACTTTAAAGATCCCGTTTATATAAACGTATTCAGAGGTAATCGAACACCGATCTACGAAAATTATGAGCCACCAGAAAAGTCTGCGTCTGAGTCAGAGGCCGCGACTGCCAAGACCAGTGTTGATAAAAAAAATTCATTTAAAATTTCTAACAAATTGGGCAAGCGATCTCCGGTAACTACGACACGGTTCGCTACGTGGAGCGGATCTATTGGAAAATATCCGCGGGATTTGACGAAAGCTAAAGTTATTAAAAAAATTAATTACAGTAATAGTAATAGTCATAATAACAGTAATAGTAGTAATAATAGTAGTACTGATACCGGTAAATTTCAACGGAAGTCAAGTCCTACGAATGAGTCAAAGAGATCAGATATAAAAACCGGATCAAGGTAATTTTTCTTTATTCATTGGAGACTTGTAGGTTGAGGTCATAATTAAATATTTATTTTATTTATGTATTTATCTGGTTAATGTCGGCAGACCGAAGAAACCTATGGAAGTTATTTATCGCACCGCGGTTTATAACATGAAGAATGAAAAATTATCCAAGCCGACTAAGGGAAGAGATACTAAAACCCCACCACGGTACATCAATGATCTCATCTGTGGTAACAAAACCAGTCGTCCGAGTAACTCGAAACATAAAGGTAAAAATAAATCCTTTTTACCTTATTTGTAACATACGTTATTGTATATGGGTGATTCTTTGTAAGGACGTTTTTTTGCTGTCCCAGGCATTTTTTTATTAGAAAAATTTTTATTTTGTTACTAAAAAAATTTGTTACGAAAGTAAAAAAACATTTCTATTTGGAGCATTAAAAACTAAAATCAAATAAATTTTGGTTTTTTTTGCTATAAATTCGTAAACCACCGAAATAACAGTCCCCTGGGCTGTTCCATTCCCAAAATTAAAACTTTAGGATTAAATTTTAAGTTATTCATCCATAATATATAATTTGGTCCATAATTTTCATAAACTTAATTAGTTAACTAACAATCTTCTTCAATAAAAAGTACTG